AAACTTAAACACTTGTTTGTTCAGCCTGGTCTCTTTCTTCTGTATCAAAGTATTACTGAGCCAGCTCTTACATATTGTGCCATTTGTTTCAATCATATGCTTACAGTTACTAATAGGAACAAAGATAACTCATTTAGCTAGTAAAATTATTGGTATTCCTACCCCTAACTTATCAGACGGTGTCACTTCATCCATGATTCGGAAAGCACATATACAATCCTAAATGATCCAGCCCACCCACTCCAACAGTATTTCATACCCTTTCCTTCTGGCCACAGTTATAGATCACTTATGTTCAGAAAAGCCAGCTATAGTAATATTTTTGTTCCTACTGCTATACAAGCTTTGAATACATGGGAAATCAGCCATGGATATGTCATTTCGTGTTCTTGCATTAGTTGTATGATCCTTTTTCTTCTTGATTGTCTTGTAGCATGTCTTGTGACTGCTCTGATTGTACTGTGATAAGCTGATATGTCTTGTGCTGTTTGTGCTATATACGCACCCACTATGAAAACAAATTTCCTTCCTGAGGACAAATAAATGATCTATCTGATGTTAGTCAGCACATGAAAATAAGTATATTTCTTTAAAGCAAGTCTTGAAATTGTACACTTTTATTTCTTTAACATTAAATTATCTGCTGGTACGGTTTAAAAATATATATGATTTGAAGTATACAAGTAGACATTCAATACAATAACATGCAGTTTTTTTCACAAGAGTACACATATTACTAAAACCGTGACAAGAGTCGTGTGCCAGAAAACCAGATGTTCCTGCTCTGAAAGGACTGAAACAATGCATGGTTTCTGCCCTAAACACCACAGAACTCTCAAAGACACACGCAACACGATCAGCATTCTGTCCTTCATGTCTTTTAAATCCACCTCATACAGGCATATACTGTACATGTTTTAAACAATGTTTTAATCTTCTTACTAGCTATGTTTATTAAATTTGTTAAAGAAATTAACAAATGTATAAGGGGTTTCCAGATAAGAGAGCTCTCGGTACGTGCACATAGCACGAGCGCACTGCTATAAATCACCAATCTTTGACCACATCCTCTTCACTGCAAACCAAAGCCTCGTTTATGCATGCAAATGCATAATCAGTACACCCCCAGCATACTGAGAGAAAACAGAAGTGATACTTTGCTAGTGTTTTTTATACTTTTTACCATGCTTTTGCATATACTTAATATTTGGAGCATCCTCTGAGGAAGCATTGCAAGTTTAACCTTTATTTAATCTAGTTGTATCCACACAATGGCAATAAAGTTCTTGACTTCCTCCTGAAATGATGGGAAATTACACACCTGGACTCTCTGAGTGCTCGCTGGTTACAAAAACAGACACAATAGACCTGTCAGCCTGTGTCTGAGCAGCAAATACATCTCTACCTCCAGCAAATACCACACACACTGGTTGTTGTATCATTAAACAATGGGCCTGTGTAAACACACGCATGAGTGCACACATATGTAAACACAAATGTTCCTGCAAAGATGCACACACAGTTATTATTAAAATGATGTGTGTTGTTGTGATACTAACTTCATTTAATCTATGGCACACTACCATGCTATATAAAGTACTGTGGTGTAAGACCGAAAAAAGATGATTCAGAATAAAATAATATATAAAAAAGGTTTAGTATGACAGTTTAACATGACAGCAAAGAGACATTTCTAAATATCTAAAGATTTATTAAAGAATCAATCATTCACATTCACATAGAGAAATTTCATAAATTAGCATCATAAAATGTAAAACTAATATATATATATATATATATATATATTGCTAAATGAAAAACCACCACCGAAAGGACATTTCAAATACAGTTGGGACAGGCTGAAATTTCTTTCATAAATTAGCATCATAAAATGTAAAACTAATATATATATATATATATATATTGCTAAATGAAAAACCACCACCGAAAGGACATTTCAAATACAGTTGGGACAGGCTTGATCATGCTACCAGACAAGCTCAAACACCTCTAGCTAAACCAAACTGATTCACAACTGAAGTGAGGTTAATGTAACATTTAGGCTTCATAAAATATTAATCTAGTAGCTCAGGGCAAAATAAATGAATCAGCAGGTTTTGGACGTCTAATAGTTGAGCAGTTCTCCTGTAAGGACAGACACAGTACAGCTGCCACCTCATTATGTTCCTGCAGGAAAAGCAAAAGATTTAGATTTTCAGAAAGCTTGTAAAAAATAATTAATTATTGGTGTTTGTTAATGCAAAATCTGACACAATGACAATATGATGTTGTCATGGACACCAGGGCAGTGCCATGTGATTGGTAAAGTAGAACTAGTTAATTACAGACCAATCTCGAATCTCCCTTTTCTGTCCAAGATACTAGAAAAGGTAGTATCCTCACAGTTATATTCCTTCTTAGAGAAAAATTTTATCTGTGAGGATTTCCAGTCAGGATTTAGACCATATCATAGTACTGAGACTGCTTATTAGAATGACAAATGACCTGCTCTTATCATCTGATCGTGGTTGTATCTCTCTATTAGTGCTATTGGATCTTAGTGTTTTTGGCATTAATGGAAGCGCATTAGCATGGTTCAAATCGTACTTATCTGACCGCCATCAATTCATAGCAGTGAATGAAGAGGTATCATATCGATCACAAGTGCAGTATGGAGTACTTCAAGGCTCAGTACTAGGGCAGTTACTTTTCACACTTTACATGTTACCCTTGGGAGATATCTTCAGGAAACATGGTGTTAGCTTTCACTGTTATGCTGATGATACTCAGCTCTATATTTCTTCGCGGCCCCGCGAAACATACCAATTTGAAAAACGAATGGAATGCATAGTCAATATAAAAAACTAGATGACGAGTAATTTCTTACTGCTAAATTCTGAAAAAACAGAGGTGTTAATTATAGGACCTAAAAACTCCACACGTAATAACCTAGAACACTGTCTAACACTTGATGGCTGCTCTGTCAATTCTTCGTCATCAGTTAGGAGCCTAGGTGTGCTATTTGATAGCAATCTTTCCTTTGAAAGCCACGTTTCTAACATTTGTAAAACAGAATTTTTTCATCTCAAAAATATATGTAAATTACGACCTATGCTCTCAATGTCAAATGCAGAAATGTTAATTCATGCATTCATGACCTCAAGGTTAGATTATTGTAACGTTTTATTGGGTGGTTGTTCTGCACGCGTAATAAACAAACTCCAGCTGGTCCAAAATGCAGCAGCTAGAGTTCTTACTAGAACCAGGAAGTATGACCATATTAGCCCGGTTCTGTCAACACTGCACTGGCTCCCTATTAAACATCGTACACATTTTAAAATCTTGCTTATTACTTATAAAGCCCTGAATGGTTTAGCACCTCAGTATTTGAACGAGCTCTTATTGCATTATAGTCCTCCACGTCCACAGCGCTCTCAAAACTGGCAATTTGATAATACCTAGAATATCAAAATCAACTGCGCGCAGCAGATCCTTCTCCTTTTTAGCGCCCAAACTCTGGAATAATCTACCCAACACTGTTCGGGAGGCAGACACATTCTTGTCAGTTTAAATCTAGATTAAAGACCCATCTCTTTAACCTGTTCCTAATTAATGCTGTACAGTTGCTTTGACACAATCTGCATTGTTAAAAGCGCTATATAAATAAACGTGACTTGACTTAAAGTGTTTTGAGTGTTTTTAGTTTGTTGCTATGCAGTTGCTAAGGTGGCGGCTCGCAGGCCCAAATCAAAAGAGCAAAATAAATTAAAGTTCATTAAAAACTGACTCATCATGTTGTTTTAAACATGTATGACTTTAGAGAAACACAAGACTCTCTTATGCTCACCGCAGCTGCAATTATTTTATAAAAACATACAGACAACTAATATTGTTAAATTTTATTACAATTTAAAAAGTTTTTTTTTTTCATTATTTTAATAAACTTAATATAACTGTTTAATATAACTATAGTGGCCATTACTCCAGTCTTCAGTGTCACATAATCCTTAAGAAATCATTCTAATATACTAATTTGGTGCTCAAGAAACATTATTTATTATTATCAATGTTGAAAACAGTTGTGAACAGTCGTAATACATTTAGAAATCTTTGATGAATAAAAAGTTCAAAATAACAGCATTTATTTGAAATAGAAAACATTTGTATCATTATAAATGTCTTTAGAAGAAGAAGACATTTTATTTATATAGCGCCTTTCCATAGCTCAAGGTCACTTTTCATAGTGCAGTACAAAACATTTGCACACCCACATACACAATACAATACAAACACATAAGGCCACATATAGCCACATTATCCAAAATACATATTAAAAAGATACGTTTTTAGCTGAGTCTTGAAGGTAGACAAAGATGTTATATTACGAAGTGTAAGGGGTAGCGAATTCCATAATGATCTGAGGGACTGGGCAGGAGAGTAGGAGTACAGTAAGTCAGACAGATATGGAGGCGCAAGACCATTTAATGCCTTAAATGCTAGAAGTAATATCTTAAAGTGAATACATGATGCCACAGGTAGCCAGTGAAGATCATGCAGTAGAGGAGTAATGTGAGCAGAACCCCTGGTGTTTTGAACATACTGTAACCTTGCAATAAGTTTTTTAGGCAGACCAAGAAATACAGCACTGCAATAATCCAGACCTGGTGTGATTAATGCATGAATTAAGATTTCAGCATCAGCTAGAGTTAGAGAAGATCGAAGACGTGCAATATTACGAAGATGGAAAAAAGAGGTTTTAACAACTATCGTTTTTGATTAACTTAATGCATCTTTACTGAATTAAAGTATTTTTAAAAATCACTGACTGCATACTTTTGAACAGTAGTGTATTTTAAGGAATGTTTCAACTATTTTGTCTATATAATGAAAGTAACTGGGCTTCAAAACAACACTGGACCTCATTTACTTTAATTCAATGAACAAAAATCTTAAAAAAAAAAAAAGAAAGAAATGATGACAATTTTAATTTTAGGGTGAACTATGCTTTTAAGTATGAGCGATAATAAGTTAATAAACATTTAAAAATCCACTTGATTGTGTATGTGAGAAATATGAGAAAAGTGCTTATATGCAGTTATGTTACTTGCCTGTTATGTGGGTGCTGGTGTCACAGAGAGATTGTTGCTCTTGGAGGGCCAGAGTCTGGTTAACAAACCTCAGCATACCTGACAGAGAGTCTAGGTCTGGTTCCTCTGGTTGCTCTTGGTCCAGCATGTATGTGAGTGGATTAAAGGACATGTCTGTAGTGGAGGTGGCCTCATGAGTGCACAGACCCTGCCAGGTCTGGTCTGGGAAGGGGGGGCAGCAGCATTGCAGCCTGTTCACTGGCTTTCAAACTGTCTGAAAGCTCCAGAGAGGTGTCAGAGGTAGTGTTCTGCTGGAACGTGCTGAAGTGTTTTTGTGAGAGGGGTGCGGGAAGCCGAGAAGAATTGAGTCTTTGAGAGGAGGAGACAGAGGGGGAGGAGTGCTGGGTTTATGACGAAGTGTGATGCTGTGTAGTTCTGTGGCCCTTTCAAAGCTGGAGAGCTTGGCTTGAAGACGGGTGATCTCGGACTCCTAAGAAAACACAGTATAAGGAATGAGGGAAAAACTTCACAAAAAAAAGAAAAAAGGGTATCCAGTAAATAGTTAATTTAAATAAATAAATAATTCAATGTATCCATTTATTTTGTAAAATTCCATGAAAACACAGCCTTCATTGTTTAAAATTTCACAGAATCCCATTTCTCACACTACTGTTGCATTTAAATATCTCCTTTTTCACAATAAAATGTGCTTTTTCAAAAAGCCGCTTTTCAAAATAATACGCTGAATTTATGAATGATGTCTATTTGATGAATCATGCATTTGTACAGGGCGTGGCTTCCTTCCATTGACAGACAGATGCATGACACGCATGCGTGATTTGTTTTCCCAAACCATTTCAATTTAAACCCCGCCCCTCAGCCGATTCTAAAGATTTCATTGGTCATGTCAATCACAATGCTGATTCCCTACAACCAATACTAAACCCTAACCCTACCCCGGGACTTCGGCCGTTCGTAACTCCCTAAAGCCCAATCCCAATTCTACTCCTTAGCCCTTCCCCTACCCCTCTGTTTCACGCGTTCACGTGAAGGGGTAGGGGTGTCTCGATTCTCTTTTGGTTGGAGGGGTAGGGGTAAGGGGAAGGGCCAGATAGCCCTTCAAACGAAGATTTTTCAGGACTACACTTCAAACGAAGGGGTATGAATTATCTCAGTGTAAACCAGCTTCAGCGGCAACATGGCTGCCCGAGCGAACAAAAAGACACATAAATGTAAGCATTTTTGGCATTAATAAAGATTTTAACGAAAAGTAATCATTTGTTTTATGTTACATTCAATAATGAGTTCATATTTACGGTCATGTTACTCAAAGAAATATTTGCAAAAACTCGCAAAATTTTGCTAACGTCATATCATTACAGACTGCACGATAGTGCCACAACATATTTTCATGTCTGATCAGGGCGATAACCACCATAGACATTGAGGAGGGCTAGTACCCCCCAATAATTATAAATCGCTAAACCCTTTGCTCAAATATTGCCAATTCGAGAGAGAGAGAGAGAGAGAGAGAGAGAAAGAGAGAGAGATGAAAGTGGATGAAAATCGTGCTTTGGAAATACATGATTCGTCAAATAGACGTCATTCATAAATTCAGCATATTATTATGAAAAACAGCTTTTTGAAAAAGCACATTTTATTATGAAAAAAAGAGGATATTTAAACAGCAGTAATTTGTGAATATTTTAAACAAAATTTGTGTTTTCATGGAATTTTACAAAATAAAAGGGATATATTTAATTATTGATTTAATTTAATTATTTAATAATTATTTCAGAATAAATTGGTACATTTAACTGTTGTTTTATTGAATTAATTATTTCTTTCTTTCATTTAGAGCACTTTAGTCCTCCATATCAAAGACATTGATTATTGTTTACTTTACAGTAATCAGTTCATTTCTCCCAATATGTTATAAATAGATCCCTTTTAAGTCTCAAAACGAGAGTAAATTCTTTCATACCATATATTTCCTTAATTTCTACCCATTCTCTGCTCACATTTCAAGACATAATGTTCAATTTGGATTTATTACTTGTATCCAATTGTTTTGTTTGGCTGTTCAAAATTTTGAAGAAAAAGAAGAAGATTGCATTAATTATTATTATATTTTAATATAAAAATATTATTAAAAGGTTAATAATATTTTCATAAATACTGTTTATCAACAAATATTATAATAGTAATTTCTTATTTTGTTAACTTTTTATTTAATAAGAACAAAAACAACAATACTAACAATAAATATTAATAAATTATATATTATATTATCAATCAATCACATTTATAATTATATAATTCACTAAAATGATTATTATTATTATAAAATTGTATAACAAAATTGTTCTCAAATACTATTAGAGTAATACGTTTTTTTTTTTTTTTACAGAGAAACATTTCAATAGTAATATTTCATATTTTTTAATATATTTATGTATTATTATTATTAGTAGTAGTAGTCATATTATAAATTAAACTTTTGTGCCCATATTGCGTAGCCCTAAAAGCACAGCAAAAACAAACAAAAACACTTTTTAATCAGAAAAACTAGATTAGATTATAAATTAGATTATTTTTAATCCAAATTGTACAGCCATGCTGCTGCTTATACACTTTCCTCACAATATAACTCTAGAAATGAACTGTTTTTATATGTAAAAACTTTAATATAAGCCCTAGGGTGGACTGGCCAGTTTGTTTCCCTGTCATTGGTCCAAAATGCTGGGATATGCTCCAGCATCTATAGGACAAGCAGTTTTGGAGAATGTATGGATGTTTAATATAAATGTAATATGGAATTGTATGTAGTGGTTTTGTAAGACACCATCCAGTGAGTCATGCACCTTAATAAGCAGGGTCTCATTAGCACTCTGCAGGAGCTGCTCTTTGCTGTGAAGCTCAGCGTTTAGGCGAGCAGAGGTAGATCTAGCCTCCTCAAGCTGGTCTCGGGCCTGTTGCAGCCGCTGGCTCAGCTGCTCCTGAGAGTTACGCAAGCTGCTGGAGATCTGATCCAACACCTTCAGCAGCTGCCCACGCGTCTGCTGGAGAGCTGAAAGCTGGGAGGCAGAGAGAGAGGGTCAGACCCAGCAAACCAACTCAACTGTCCCATGAGAACAAATACAAATTTTCTGTTTCTCCAAACCTCTTTGTGGTGCTCCTCTCTCTGCTGCTCAATCTCCTGTTGTAGGGTAGTAATGGTGGCCTGGAGTCTGACCTCAGCATGTGTAGAACACATCTCCTATAGCAAATCAACAAACAGGTTAAGGACCATCAGGCCCTGAGAGAACTCAAGAATCTGAGAGATATCTCATGAAAAGGTAACTTTCATTTTACTGATCTGCTCATAAACAATGTACATGTGTAGAACTGACATGTCACCAAAATACCAAAATTCATTTTATTACAATAACTAGTTTTACCCATTGACATGGAAACCAATAACCGGTAATGCAAGAAACCCATGTTAAAAAGACTTTTCTTCTTCTTTTTTTTTTTTTATAAAATCTTATTTAACGGTGGTGATGTCAAAACATAAGTATGTATTCCTCTCAGAGTATTCTATCGTGATAAAATGTGATTGAAATTCATTTCAATCGATGTGCAGTGCATTAACCCAGCCGCTCATCAGACCTTAGCGCGTTTTATATTGTTAATAGTAGTTGAATTAGTAGTAGTATTATTATCTTACAAGTATTATTGTTAGGTTTTTTTTAACAGAAACACTGAATGACCAGCAATGTCTCAAGCACCACCACCAGTCCTAAGTTCTCTTAAAATGACAAAAACACATTCATATATTTTCATTCATACATGGTTACCACGTTTTAGTTCTAACTGCTTAAATGCAAGTTAAAAAATGCTTGATTGACAGATGTTAAAAGTGTACTTTCAGATCATATCACCTATTGCCAAGGTGTGCATAGAGGGTTGCATATTCTCCTCTCATGTTTGAAGTTTGTACGACTACACACCACTTCTCCTTCAGCTGCACGAGATGAATATCCATTTTTACAATGTATTTTAGAATACAAAGAGTCCGAGTGTACAGTATAGTTCCTCCTCTACGGAAAATGGTTTAATGACTTTACATGACCACACATGTCGGTTTAAGCATAATTGTTTTGAGAATGTGCATGTAAACACTCACTGAGACCCTAAAGCGTGCAGTGAATGTAAGGGCATAATGGCAAAATAAAGGTGAAAGAACACAAAAGTTCAGGAATACCACCACATCAAAGCAACTGGCTGATCACACTGTCATTCCATCAATGTGAAAATGAACATGACAGGCTCGTAAATTATCCTGAATCTGCCAAAATGGACGGACTAATTACAGACCCACTCACTCTGAAAACCCTATTGGTCTCATGAATCTAAATGAACTTGAAATGAAATTGAAATCTGTGAGTGCCTTGAAACACAGCTGCTGAGTTTAGAGCTGCAGACGTTTCACCTTCTGATGTGCTTGCTGGGTGACTTCATCTATCTGTCTGTTCAGAGATTCACAGCATGTATGTGCTTGCTGTAGCTCCTGCACTGTCTTTTGGAGCTGCTCACGATACACATGCAGCTGTTGGCCATGTTCAAGAGCATCCTGACACACACACACACAAACAATATAAGTTGAGACAAAACAGTGCAACTGTCTAAAAGGCTTACTCAGTAATTTTTTAGCAATTTTTAGATCATACTGTACAGTAAACACCAAGCATGCATACTTGCAAAAGATTATGTTGAGAAAAAATGTATTAGCTCCAAGACTAATAAAATTATTTTTGTGACAATGACATGGCACCCATGATTAAGTACATGGCACATTAACAACATCCTGTGAAGATCAGTGTTACACAACCTGTTGGTATTGTTTAATTTCTGTATAGCAAGAGTTTAATGTTGTAACACTGTTATTTCTGCTTTTCATGTAACGTTTTATTATTCACATTTTTTGGGGTTGCTGGTTTAAATCTCCTTCTTAAAGTTTAAGTGAAAGTAAAATTAAATGTTCCGAGTTTTATTTTGATTTTGGGGTGAAAAAAGACCTGGACATGTTTTTGACAGGATTTGTGAGTTTACACACTTTACCCCATTAAATACAGGGTAAAAATCTATTCACTCCTCACTATAGTTCAAACATGTCCCATACCCTCTCCGGGTCCTCCTTAACCTGAAGCTGTGACTTCAGCATCTCCAGCCTCTCCATCAAGAACTGCATCTGTCCAGAGAGTAACGAGACCTCATCAGTTAATTTGTCCATTAACAAACTCATCTGTGGTCACTCTCAATGACTAACCTGCTGGTCCTTCTCTCTTAGCTCTTTCTGGCTCTTCTCCAGAGCTTCCTGTAAATACTCCACATTCTTCTCCATCTCCAGCTTGTGCTCCTTAATGGCCACATCCAGCTGCCCCAACTCAAAAGAGAACACAATGCTTTAGTAGAGTGGAGACATGGAGGTAATGGAGATCTTGCTCATGTTTACATGTGGGACCAGCTGCGCTCTCTGCTGTAGCTCCCCCTGTCTTTCTTTCAGAGCATTGTCCAGATCCAACATCTCATGGTTCCTCTCCTCCAGCTCCCTCTGACTTCCAGTGATAGAGTAACTGATTATTTATTAATTAATTAATTTTTTTTTTTGCAACAGATTTAGAATAGATTAGAACAAAGTTGAAGGTGATATGTGCAATTTTTCTAGGTTAAAATACTTCGTCCCCATCCTATATGCAAAACAACCATAAATATATAAGAATTTGTTTAAGCATCCTGTCCGGCCTGAAGGGACTTTATTTAACTGTATTTATTTGATACGGTCAAATAGGCCAATAGTGAGATTGGTCATTATTTTATCAATTACATTTGATGCAGAAATTACACACTTCATTTTTAACTGGTGACCAGTAATATCATAATACTAATAGTACAGATCTACATGTGCATGAGGTTTTGAATTTGTTCTATGAGGTACAAAAAAATAATAATTTTGCAACTTTTACAAACCAACATTCACAGACACCACAATCCACTGCTAATGTTATCATATGTGACTGAGTACACACCTAGTTGTGTTTTGAGTGCAGTGTGTAATATGGGGAACACAGCATACCACTGTTCACAAACACATGATGGAAAAAGTACATGAACGTAGAGAATCACATATGGTACGAGTTGTGTGGATATTTTCTGTGATTATAACTTGCATATAAAGCTATATTTATGAAGAAATCATTTCATCGCTGTAGTTGTAATGATTTTGTCTAAGCAGAAATGGGTGACGGTTGGGTAAATGTGCCACATTTCAACAAAATTAATATTCATGATGACAAATTCTGTTATGAAGCACTACTGGCTTTTTTTTTTTCTGTAGCTTTACTGAATATTTTTGGGGTGGGGTGAAGTTGTGTATGTGTGTTTGTTTTGACCATGATTAGACAAATTGATAACGTTCTGAATAATGGAACAAGTGTTGCAGCCGACACTGAATTTTGGGGTCAGTATGATCTTTAATGTTCTTATGAAGTCTCTAAGGCTGCATTTATTTGATCGAAAATGTGGAATATTATTACACTTTAGAATAGCTCTATAGTGTAATTTATAGTACCATTATTCCAGTCTTCAGTGTCACATGACCCTTCAGAAGTCATGCTGCTTAATATTTTTGTGAAAATATTTGTGAGGATATTTTGATAAATAAAAAGAACAACATTTATTTGAAATAGAAATCTTTTGTAACATTATAAATATTTTTACTGTCACCTTTGATCAATTTAATGCATTGCTGAATAAAAGTATTAATAAAAAAATCTCACTGACCCTAAACTTTTAAATGCAAGTATATACAATAATTTGTAAATCCAGTAGACAACTGGGACAGAGACTAATGTCAATATATGAACACTCACTGTACAAAGATAAGTTGTTCAAAAAAAATAATAATTGTACAAAGATTACATTTTTTTTTTATCTAAACCAATAAATTATTTTAATCACATTATAATACATAACACATCACTAAAAGCAAAAAAAAAAAGTTATAAAGGCTCTATTTATAATTAAAATAATACATTTAGACAATTATCATATTAGAGCAGCATAATGTGGTTTGTATTTTCACATTCAAAGTGCATTTACTATATTTATACATAAAAACGTATGTATGAAGTGTTGGAAAACGATTTAGGAAATAAAAATAAACTGGAATGACTTCATAGGTCTCTGCTGAGACATATTCACCATTAATGTCCATAAGAAGGAATGGACCAACAAAACAGGATGCAACCATCAGCAGGTATTTACAAGGAAATATTTGTCCTTTTTTGTATCCCATATGAAAATACGGTTTGAAGGTTATCTAAAAACACAAAATGTGTTTTGAGGCCTTTACAGATCCATTATAATCTCTTTCCGAGGCATATAAGCAACAACACAAAGTCCTCAATTTAGGTTGTCCTCAGGCAAACATGAGTAAGGGTGTAAGAAACCTCAGAATTGCTCTGTATCCAGTGATGGACAGACTGCTGTGACTTCCCAGCAGTCAGAGAAAGGTGGTGGAGCAGCTCACCTGAGCTCAGCAGCTAATTTATCGATGGTCGCTTGCTGTTGGTCTGACGTAAGCTGTGTGCGCTGCAGCAAGTCTTCCAGCTCCTGCAGGTGGTCCAGGGTGTCCGCCAGCTCGCCACGCACCTCCTGCAACTGTCCCTCCAGCAACTGTGCCCGCTGCAGCGAGTTCCTCCTGTCCATCTCACTGCGGTGGAGTTTCTCTTCAAGGTCCATTACTGAGAAAACATAAGACTATTATTAAAAATTATTCATCTCATCTTCCTCAGAGTTGTAGACTAGACTAGACTAGACTAGACTAGAATAGATAGTTCATGGACATCCCTTTGTGAGGTTCAAACCACTTTTGGGTGAGCATTTCTTAAAGTGAGGATTGCAAACCCCTAGGTGTCCAGCAATTATAGATTGTACAATTCTTAAATTGTAAGCCAAAAGTTCTCACTGAAAAAACTGGTCACATGGTCAGTACAACAGTGACTGCTCACTTTTTTTTAAAGGCTTAGGTTTCACATACAACTCAGATAGAAGGTTATGCTCATTGTTTTGTTGGTGGTCACTAGAGCTGCATACCCATTTCACTCTTCTTATCCAGCAGGCCTTCGGTCTCCTTGAGTGTCTCCTCCATCTGATTGAGCTGAGAGGCTTTCGTGTTGCTGTCTCTCCTCAGACGCAACTGCTCAAGCTCCATGTCTGACAGCTCCACTCGAAATGTACTCATCTCTGAGCTCAGCTGCCTGAAAAACACACACAGCTTAACATTACTATCTTTTTCTCAGTGCTTTTATCATTGTACAGCTGCTGTCTGGACATGACTACAGGGTAAAAGATAACTGACCTTAAAAGAAATGACAGAAAAATCAAGTAAAGGAAATCTCATGTGAACAGCCAATATGTGAGACGCTTTCTTCCTCAGCGAGAATAATTTGCTGTTCACAATATATATAGAAAGAGTTTAGTGGGAGTGGCTATGGACACAAAGGCTCTGAAACCATTAAACAGTCATAAGATCATCTCAAGGGACACCCCCTCAGGACAAGTCTCATGAAAAAAAGTTCATTAAAAAATGTTCAGTGTTATAATTGAGGCAAAATGAGGCCAACAGACATTTTCTAGTCATATGCTTTCACACTTCCATGAAAAACACTGCTTGTATTATACATTTATTTTTTTAGAAATTCTCTTTTATATTTTTGAAAACAGAATAGGGGCAATAGTCTGAAAACACAAACATATTTCCATACTCTTGATTGGTCGACTTGATTGCACAGACACTATTTAAACTGAACTGAGCTGGATGATGAGATCACTGAATTCAATGATGAACTGCCTCTAAAACTGAAAATTGAGTGTTTACTATTATCATTTTGCATTATTGACACAATATTTTCCTAATTAATGCTGTACAGTTGCTTTGACACAATCTCTTTTCTTTTTTCCATACTTATCCAGACCTGGAAAACACTAAAATCAAATTTTATACTTTTCCATGCTGCATAGGAACCTCTAAACATGTTTTGATCATTATATTTGTAGTGGTACACAAAAATGCTGAAGAAACATTCCTGCAATACAAAAGGTAAATATGCCAGGTGGTCTCACGTTATGGAGCCGGAGAGCTCTGCAGCCTCTCTTCTCCTTCTTCTGCACCTCCTGAGTGGCCTCCTCCACCTCTCTCTCCCTTCTCCTCAGAGCCTGAGATAAGGCAGTGCGCTCCTTCTCCAAATCTTGTTCCATCTCGGACACCTGTAGGCAATCAGAAGATGTTTTCCCACAATCTGCAAAGATTCGATTTGTTTTTCATGCAGAAAGATCATGAGATTATTGTGTAACCTGCTTTTGTGGAAAACACATTTTGTGGAAAACACAGTGATTAAAATTAGAGAACAGTAACCATTGTAGCACAAAAGAAGAATACAACTAAAATTTTACAGCTGTCAAAAATTAGTAGGAATTGTAGAGGCCCCTGCTTTGAATGATTTCAGCATATCTGCGGCCGCAGGATATCACTAGTTTCTCACACTGCGCTGGTGTGATCTTAGTCCACTCTTCTTCCAGTCTCTTCCATAGCTCGGTAACTGTAGTGGGTTTCTTAGCCATAACTTTGTTGCCAAGGATATTCCAGAGATTTTCAGTTGGGTTTAGATCAGTACTCTGGGCCGGCCATTTCATTATTTCAATGTTTTCAACTTCAAGGAATGCTTCACCCATTTTGCAGTATGACGGGGGCATTGTCTTGCATGAAAATTGCAGGCTGATTGGGAGATGCTTGCAGGGAAGGTACTGCATGTTGCTGAAGGAGGTTCTGATAAACATTTGCATTCACCCTGCCATGTAGCTCTATAAGAGGCCCAACTCCTACTGCACAAAACATCCCCCAAAGCATGACACTTCCTCCACCTTTCACTGACTTCTTTACGCACTCAGGGTTCAGTCTTTCCCCAGTTTGATGCCAAACATAATGTTTCCCATTTCACCTAAATAAATTAAACTTGAACTTCGGACCAGTTCTCCTCTCAACATGCTCCTCAGCAAAGGTGAGCCTAGTCTTTTGATTATTCTTGCTGATGAGAGGCTTCATCACTGCAAAGTGCACTTTCAGTCCGACTTCTCTTAAAAGTGCCATGACAGATCCCTACCCGGTTCAGCACTGAACTGTCGAGCAATTCCAGCTGCATTGTTGAGCCGATTCCCCACTGAGAGTCTCCGCATTATCCTGTCTTCTCATGCAATTGTCTTACGTGGACGTCCAGCCTTTTTGGGGGAATTGAATTAATTAGTGTCATTGTAAAGCTGCAATAGTTGAGAAATCACAGATTTGGAATGACCAGCTACTCTTGCAATGGCTGAAAGGGTCAGCCCTTTGGCCTTCATCTGGACCACCTCCTGTCACAGGCTTTCAGTCACCTTAGAGCGGCCCGCCATCTTGCAATTAGAGGAATGCTGCCAGTTAAAAAGGATTTTGTCATTTAATTTAGGAAATTAGCACCAGGTGCCAGATTAACGCCAATAACCTGGAGGCATCTGTAAGTGTTCTCTATTTTTGATCAGAGTTCTTTTTCAAATATCTAATTTAAGTTTTTTTATACTGTGCTTCAGAATACAATTAATTTATGAAATATGCTTAAAAACTACCCTTCTATTCCTGTTAGGATAAATTAAAAAAGAACTAAGCAGTGACCTTGAAATTTGAGAAATTGTAGGTGGTTATAAAATGTTGATCTCCACTGTGTGTGTGTGTGTGTGTGTATATATATATATATATATATATATATATATATATATATATATATATATATA